TCAACTTGAGGGGTCATCAGTGAACTCAATTGGAGGTCATCTGGGACATATCAGGTCACAGAGATCAGCTTGGAGTCATCAGAGCTCAATTGGAGGTCACGGAGGTCATCTGGGACACGTTAGGTCATACAGGTCAACTTGGGGTCATGAGGGAGGTCACTTATAGGTCACAGAGGTAATATGGGACATGTCAGGTCACAGAGGTCAGCTTGGGGTTATCAGAGAGCTCAATTGGAGGTCATCTGGGACATGTCAGGTCACAGAGATCAGCTTGGAGTCATCAGAGAGGTCACTTGATGTCACAGAGGTCATATGGGACACGTCAAGTCACAGAGATCAACTTGGGGTCATCACATAGCTCAACTGAGGGTCATCTGGGACACGTCAGGTCACAGAGGTCAGCTTAGGATCATCAAAGAGCTCAATTGGAGGTCATCTGGGACATATCAGGTCACAGAGGTCAGCTTGGAGTCATCAGAGCTCAATTGGAGGTCACGGAGGTCATCTGGGACACGTCAGGTCACAGAGGTCAGCTTAAGGTCATCAGAGAGGTCACTTAGAGGTCGCAGAGGTCATATGGGACACGTCAGGTCACAGAGATCAACTTGGGGGTCATCAGTGAACTCAATTGGAGGTCATCTGGGACATATCAGGTCACAGAGATAAGCTTGGAGTCATCAGAGCTCAATTGGAGGTCACGGATGTCATCTGGGACACGTCAGGTCACAGAGGTCAGCTTAAGGTCATCAGAGAGATCACTTAGAGGTCGCAGAGGTCATATGGGACACGTCAGGTCACAGAGGTCAACTTGGGGGTCATCAGTGAGCTCAATTGGAGGTCATCTGGGACATATCAGGTCACAGAGGTCAGCTTGGAGTCATCAGAGCTCAATTGGAGGTCACGGAGGTCATCTGGGACACGTCAGGTCATACAGGTCAACTTGGGGTCATGAGGGAGGTCACTTATAGGTCACAGAGGTAATATGGGACATGTCAAGTCACAGAGGTCAACTTGGGGTCATCACAGAGCTCAACTGAGGGTCATTTGGGACACGTCAGGTCACAGAGGTCAGGTCAGCTTAGGATCATCAAAGAGCTCAATTGGAGGTCATCTGGGACATATCAGGTCACAGAGGTCAGCTTGGAGTCATCAGAGCTCAATTGGAGGTCACGGAGGTCATCTGGGACACGTCAGGTCACAGAGGTCAGCTTAAGGTCATCAGAGAGATCACTTAGAGGTCGCAGAGGTCATATGGGACACGTCAGGTCACAGAGGTCAACTTGGGGGTCATCAGTGAGCTCAATTGGAGGTCATCTGGGACATATCAGGTCACAGAGGTCAGCTTGGAGTCATCAGAGCTCAATTGGAGGTCACGGAGGTCATCTGGGACACGTCAGGTCATACAGGTCAACTTGGGGTCATGAGGGAGGTCACTTATAGGTCACAGAGGTAATATGGGACATGTCAGGTCACAGAGGTCAGCTTGGGGTTATCAGAGAGCTCAATTGGAGGTCATCTGGGACATGTCAGGTCACAGAGATCAGCTTGGAGTCATCAGAGAGGTCACTTGATGTCCCAGAGGTCATATGGGACACGTCAAGTCACAGAGGTCAACTTGGGGTCATCACAGAGCTCAACTGAGGGTCATCTGGGACACGTCAGGTCACAGAGGTCAGCTGAGCTTAGGATCATCAAAGAGCTCAATTGGAGGTCATCTGGGACATATCAGGTCACAGAGGTCAGCTTGGAGTCATCAGAGCTCAATTGGAGGTCACGGAGGTCATCTGGGACACGTCAGGTCATACAGGTCAACTTGGGGTCATGAGGGAGGCCACTTATAGGTCACAGAGGTAATATGGGACATGTCAGGTCACAGAGGTCAGCTTGGGGTTATCAGAGAGCTCAATTGGAGGTCATCTGGGACATGTCAGGTCACAGAGATCAGCTTGGAGTCATCAGAGAGGTCACTTGATGTCCCAGAGGTCATATGGGACACGTCAAGTCACAGAGGTCAACTTGGGGTCATCACAGAGCTCAACTGAGGGTCATCTGGGACACGTCAGGTCACAGAGGTCAGCTGAGCTTAGGATCATCAAAGAGCTCAATTGGAGGTCATCTGGGACATATCAGGTCACAGAGGTCAGCTTGGAGTCATCAGAGCTCAATTGGAGGTCACGGAGGTCATCTGGGACACGTCAGGTCACAGAGGTCAGCTTAAGGTCATCAGAGAGGTCACTTAGAGGTCGCAGAGGTCATATGGGACACGTCAGGTCACAGAGATCAACTTGGGGGTCATCAGTGAGCTCAATTGGAGGTCATCTGGGACATATCAGTTCACAGAGGTCAGCTTGGAGTCATCAGAGCTCAACTGGAGGTCACGGAGGTCATCTGGGACACGTCAGGTCATACAGGTCAACTTGGGGTCATGAGGGAGGTCACTTAGAGGTCACAGAGGTCATATGGGACATGTCAGGTCACAGAGGTCAGCTTGGGGTTATCAGAGAGCTCAATTGGAGGTCATCTGGGACATGTCAGGTCACAGAGATCAGCTTGGAGTCATCAGAGAGGTCACTTGATGTCACAGAGGTCATATGGGACACGTCAAGTCACAGAGGTCAACTTGGGGTCATCACAGAGCTCAATTGAGGGTCATCTGGGACACGTCAGGTCACAGAGGTCAGCTTGGGGTCATCAAAGAGCCCAATTGGAGGTTACGGAGGTCATCTGGGACATGTCAAGTCACAGAGGTCAACCTGGGTCATCACAGAGCTCGATTGAAGGTCATGGGGGTCATCTTGGACACGTCAGGTCACAGAGGTCAGCTTGGGGTAATCAGAGAGATCACTTAGAGGTCGCAGAGGTCATATGGGACATGTCATGTCACACAGGTCAACTTGGGGTCATGAGGGAGGTCACTTAGAGGTCACAGAGGTCATATGGGACATGTCAGGTCACAGAGGTCAGCTTGAGGTTATCAGAGAGCTCAATTGGAGGTCATCTGGGACATGTCAGGTCACAGAGATCAGCTTGGAGTCATCAGAGAGGTCACTTGAGGTCACAGAGGTCATATGGGACACGTCAAGTCACAGAGGTCAACTTGGGGTCATCACAGAGCTCTGATGGAGATCATGGGGGTCATCTGGGACACATAAGCTCACAGAGGTCAACTTGGGATCATCATAGAGGTCACATAGAGGTTACAGAGGTCATATGAGACACGTCAGGTCACAGATGTCAACTTGGGGTCATCACAGAGCTCAATTGGAGACCACTGGTGCAGCTGAGACACGTCGGTCACAAAGGGCAACTTGGGGGCACGTCAGGTCACAGAGGTCAACTTATGGTCATCACAGAGCTCAACTGGGGGTCTTCTGGGACATGTCAGGTCACAGAGTTCAGCTTAGGGTCATCAGAGAGATCACTTAGAGGTTACAGAGGTCATATGGGACACGTGAGGTCCCAGAAGTCAAGTTGGGGTCATCACAGAGCTCAAATGGAGGTCATCTGGGACATGCCAGGTCACAGAGGTCAGCTTAGAGTTATCAGAGCTAAACTGGAGGTCACGGAGGTCATCTGGGACACGTCAGGTCAAAAAGGTCAACTTGGGGTCATCGCAGAGCTCATTGGAGGTCATGGGGGTCATCTGGGACACGTTTTTGGAATCGGGAGAATTTTGGGGTATGACCCTTGCAACGTCCAACACCGCCTTTCTGGATTCGCCAGTAGTTGCTGGAATGGTGTTAGGCTACTTCCAATTCCTGAATACCCCAATAAATGTGAAATAGCATATTATGGACCATTTTCAACACTCTTGCTGCCTCGCTGGCATGGATGGAGGCCTCATAGACGACCTGTCAGTTCAAGCTCTATAACTTGCATTAGCATCAACCGATTGCAACAAAATTTTCAGGATCTCAAGTTCAAACAATTTTACACGTACCACGTAAATTTCGAGGCAATGACCCGAATGACCTGTGACCTATTCGGTATACCCCAAGGCAAGGTCAACTTGCGACAATGACACTACTTACGACTGCTATTTCAATTTTGTAAGTTGTGTCGCAAATTAGGCAATGTGCAATACATTAAAATTACAATAACCCACACCAAAACACACTATACCTACCAAATCAAGTTCTTCAGCACCCCTAAGGCCAGTGCACTGGCACGGGGCACGTCCAAGGTCAAATCGCGTTTCTCAGATTTTCGGTTTGTTATTTTCATCAAGGTTTTGATAGGTGCTCGCACGGTAGCCATGTTGGGATAGGTGAATTAAAGGTTAAATTATTTAAATATTTTAAAATAATTTAAGACCTGCCAAGCCTAACAATACGCAGAATAATAACCAGCATTAAAAATTGTATTGGGATAAAAATTTATATGTGAATCGAAAGGGTCCGCTAAAAATGACCTTGACCTTTGACCCGTCATTTCTCCGTAGTTTGACCTTGCCAAAACAAGAAAAACCAGCAGTAGCATCTCCAACATTGGTTGCATTATTGAGCAAAAAATTATTGAAATCTAAGGGGTCCTCCTTTCTCACCTGGCCACGTGGTCACTTCCACTTCCTGTATTACACATACGTGACCTTGATTCTGACCTTTGACCTACTATATATCAGTTCGTGCTGCTTGCCAAAGTAAGAAACTGATATTTTTGAAATCAGCTCTTCATGGACTATAGTTGTACCAATTTTTACGAGAATCCAAAGGGTCCGCCGAGAATGACCTTGAACTTTGACCTAAGATTCCTCAGTTCTTAGGGGGTGCCAAGCCTAGGTGATTTATTTTCGTAATAAGCGTGTCCTGGTCTATCTATCCTGTTAATTTAAATCGATTCTGAGGGGTCCGTTTTTGTCATTTTTTCCACGAATGTGGTGCTGGAATCCGAATCCGAATTTGAAGCCAACTTTATGAACGTGTCCATTCTTGCGGTCCTGAAATCGCCACTATTTCCGGCCTCTCCAACGCAACTCGTTGTCCAGACGTAAATATGCAGCCGGTCACTTCGGCATTAGTAGAGCAGAGCAGACATTACATGAGGGTTTTCCAACTGAGGAGAGGCGCTATAGGTTTGTAGGCTGTGGGGTAGATTTGTAGGATTTTAGGTTGTAAGTTGTAGGCTTGTAGGACTAGGTTGTAGGTTAGGTCAGGTCAGCCTAGTCAGGTCAAGGTTAGGTTTGTTTAAGTTTTGTTAGAAAAAAGCACCTCCTGGTAGTGCCTCTCCTTGGTTGGAAAACCTTTGTGTGATGTCTTCTTTACTAATACCCATTTCTCCTCAAATGTGTCTTATAGGATCATTTGATTGTTCACCAAGTGATTGAGTATTGACCCATAAATTGGTTACAGTATCAGTATACCAGTTGCTGGCACATCATGGAAATGCTGAAGAAGCTGCAGTCAACAGTGGCACAGGCAGTGACACAGGTATCAGGTGCCTTGCCTGGTAATCCAGTGACAAGAGAGTATGAGGTCAAGGAGCACATTGCCAGTGCCGGTCCAGGTGAGCAGGAGGCATTCTTATGCTATGGACTAGAGTAAGGATTACTGAGTTCAAAGTTAGATCTTGATGTGCTCCTCATCTGATATTAGGGACTGATTTCATGCTTAACAATTTGCATCTATCTACACAAGAAAATGTGTCTGATAGTCTGGAGCCTGTTGATGCCAGCTGTGCCATCTCTCTGCCAGGCCTGCTGTGGAAGGTGTACTCGGCAGTCAAAAAGTCAACTCGTGAGGAGGCCTCTGTGTTTTTGCTGGAGAAGCATCTGCTGGAGCAGTGGGGTCGCAGAGACAGAGAAATGATGCTGGACATCCTGCGGCAGGGGGTCAGCCAGCTTACCCGGCTCCGCCACCCACGCATTCTCACGGTCCAACATGCCATGGAGGAGTCAAGGTTAGTGTGGTGCGCCAAGGTGGTCATCAGGAACTCACCCCGTAGCTGATATTTCCCTTCTATAACCATGAGCGCACAAGAAAGCCAGCTTTTTGACCTGAGGTCTTTTTGCCGTGATACTTTAATTGCCTGTTTGTGCAGATTGTTTCATGTACCACACCAGTCATGCCTGTACTCTGTTTCAGGGAGAGCCTGGCGTTCGCCACGGAGCCGGTGTTTGCCAGTCTGTCGAACGTGCTCGGTCAGCTGGAGAACGCGCCGTCCCCGGTGCCGGCGGCGCTGCGGGACCACCAGCTGCACCAGGTGGAGATCAAGTACGGCCTGCTGCAGGTGAGACGCTGCGGGCGCCGGCACCGCTACGGATCGGGAGCCCGGGAAACCGACCCTGATCCTGACCGACTCTGCCTGTGGGCGGTTGGTTGGAGCGACCGGAACGCTCACTTTGCCGAACACGAAATGGGAATTGAAGCTGATGTAACGCGTCTCCTATCCAGGTGTAATTGCGTGTCTCTACTCGTGTTTGACGTCGGCGCTCTCTGCTCCCTCCACCCGAGCTGTGTCGGCTCCCCTGACGGCCTCCCTCCGCTCATTCTTTCAGCTGGGCCAGGCGCTCGAGTTCCTGCACTCAGACGTGAAGATGCTGCATCGTAACGTCTGTCCGGACTCGGTCGTCATCAACAAGTCCGGCGCCTGGAAGCTGGCCGGCTTCGAGTTCTGCCAGGCCAACAAGGCGTCAGCGGACCAACCGGTGAGCGGCCACTGACAATGGGGGATGGAGGGCTTCTCATTTTTGTTCCGTGCTATTATAGAGGGCTTCGAGCGGCGGGCGCTGTACGGTGGACTTAGGGCGGCAGATACTACACAGCGGACGATCTAGTCTGGACCTGGTGGACAGTATGTATGTCCACCGTCTGGTGGACAGCTAGGGCGATAAATATTCGATTACCGGCGCCTGACGGCCGGTAAACGGCCAGTCCCGCGCTGACGGCAGTGCCCCCCCCCCCCCCTCGCCGCCGCCGGCAGCCGTCGTGGCCGGTGGCCGAGTACGACCCGGACGTGCATCCGCTGGCGCAGCCGGCGCTCGACTTCATGTGCCCGGAGGCGGCGCTCTGCCTGGCTCACACGCCCTACTCGGACATGTACAGCCTGGCGGCGCTCGTCTACGCCGTGTTCACGCGCGGCGGCACCGTGTTCAACTGCGCCGCCGACTGGTACGCCTACAAGAAGGCCATGAACGAGGTGAGATGGTAGGATTCCGTGATCCGCCACCGATTATCTTTTATAAAATGTCCGCGCCTCATAATTCATTTTACCGTCATTGTGTGTGTGTTATTGAAACACTGCATGAAGGCTGTTCCATGAGCTGACTGCGTGTTCTTACCTCAGCTGAAGCGGCTGCCGCCCAGCCGGCAGTGGATTCGGTGGTAACTGACTGCGTGTTTTTGCCTCAGCTGAAGCGGCTGCCGCCCAGCCGGCAGTTTATTCGGTGGTAACTGACAGCGTGTTTTTGCCTCAGCTGAAGCGGCTGCCGCCCAGCCGGCAGTTTATTCGGTGGTAACTGACTGCGTGTTCTTACCTCAGCTGAAGCGGCTGCCGCCCAGCCGGCAGTGGATTAGGTGGTAACTGACTGCGTGTTCTTACCTCAGCTGAAGCGGCTGCCGCCCAGCCGGTTGGAGCCGGTGCCGGCCGAGCTGCGGGAGACGGTGAAGCTGATGCTGAACGTGGCGCCCGACCTGAGGCCCGACGCCCACCAGTTCGCCAAGGTGAGCAGCTGCGGAGAGAAATACCGGAGAGCGGCCAGTCTAGACTTATGACTGTTACCGTCGTTGAACCATTGAAGTCAGTAGCCGTATTTGCTTGTAATGTTTTATACGAATGCGTTGTTTTCCTTCTACAGATTAATTACTTTGACGACGTGGGTGTGAAAACCCTCAACTACCTGGACTCGCTGTTCCAATGGGACAACCTTCAGAAGTCGCAGTTCTACAAGGGACTACCGCAAATTATACCAAAGCTACCACATCGAGTTTGTCTCTATCGGCAAGTAAAACTCGGCTTTTGATTCGAATATCAGGCACATCTATCTCTTAGATGTCAACGAGTCCTGTTCGTGCAGTTCTTATTTTCTTCACGTCAAGTTGTCTAAATGATTCTCAAAGATTCGAATTTTTCTGTTGGCTGACAGAGACTTGTGCCGAAATTACGAAAACCAGTATAACGCCTTTTGGGGCGACTAACGGAGCGAGCGAGAGGGTGGGCCTTGCACGTGCGAAATTGCGAGGGGGTACCTCCAACTGACTTGTGCACGGCACCCTACTAACCGGTCTCTAGCGATGTGCCAAATTTGGGCACAATCGGCCCAGCCGTTCTCGAGATCTGGAAGCGGCACCCTGCACGTGCGCACGTGCAAAATGGGTCCCAACTGACTTGCGCACGGCACCCTACTAACCGGTCCCTAACTGTGTACCAAATTTGAGCGCAATCGGTCCAGCCGTTCTCGAGATCTGGAAACGACCCCTGCACGTGCGCACGTGCAGCAGCGCCCCAACTCTGGCACATGGATATGCAGTGCCTAGTGGGTGCCTACCTACATGCCAACTTTCAGCGCAATCGGCCAAGTAGTTACCGAGATATTGCAACAATTACAAAACGGACACCTCTTCGTTTTGCACGTGGCACGTGCATAAGGGGTCACCCACATGCATCGGGAATAGTCCAATACTTGGTAGAAGGACTGAAGCTACCCTATAAAAATTGCCGCGTGTAAATCGGTCAAGTGGTTGCTGAGATATAAGCCTCGCAAAAGCGTGACCACGGCCGGCCGGCCGGCCGGCCGCTCATACTCAGAAATTTCCGTTAATCTAAGGAAAGACTACGCTCGCTTCGCTCGCTCCGTAATAAGCCACGCTGTGGTACTAGGACGAGGCTGCTCTTTTGAAAATCATTTTGCAGCCAGCGAATTAATAATTAATTCGCCATTACCGGGCATGCAACATGAGGCGATGTCACGGAGCACCAGCAAACTATCGTTAATTTGATTGCTGAATCGTTTTACCGCCTAAATAATAAGTATATTTTGTGTTTCAGCGTGTTACCGAGTCTGGCCAAGGAGTTTGTAAACCCGGCGATGATTCCGTTCGTGCTGCCCAACACAATGCTGATTGCCGAAAACTCCAGCAAGGAGGAGTACGTGGAGCACATCATGCCGCTGATCGCGCCCGTCATGAAACTCCAGGAGCCAGTGCAAGTGAGAGACACCGACAGTCGGCTAACCACCGCTGTGTCCCTCCTGACCATTGTATTTCCGGTAACTCAGCGACTGGGTGTGACTGAAGATTTCGCTTACGGGTATGTTGTTCATGCCAAACGTACTTGGCGATGTGCACACAGCTGCATCGATTTACAGCGTAGGTATAGCTGACGGCAGCCGCGGTAACCGCTCGGGACTGAGCTGATCCTGGTACATGTGTAACCTGTGTACCCGCGCTTGACTAAACCTGCCCTGTTTGCCGGCAGATCCTGTTGATTTTCATGCAGCGTCTGGAGCTGCTGCTCAGTAAGACGCCGGCCGACGCGGTGCGCGCGCACGTCCTACCGCTCATGTACCGGGCGCTCGAGTCCAACACGCAGCAGATCCAGGAGCTCTGCCTGAGCGTGATCCCCAAGGTGGGCGCGCTGGTCGACTACCCGAGCATGAAGAACGCGCTGCTGCCGCGCGTCAAACAGCTCTGCCTCAGCACCGGATACCTGTCGGTGAGTCAGGGGCGGTTCTCCCATATAGGCAAGGTAGGCAGTGCCTACGTCAATTGCCGTCTCCCCTGCGTCTAAATCATCCCTATATCGTGGCTTTTGTTTGCTTGATTGCTTTTGTTAAAAATCTTTTGTTTCTCGTTTTTCAAAATGCGTTGAAACGACAGAGAATTTCCTAAACTTTTCAAAAAACGTCACATAAAGATCGTACTATAAGAACATTGACGAAAACCTTTGCCTAAGTTGTGCCTACCTCGTCCTACTAGATTATCGACTATTGCCATGCTGAGGCTATTGAGCCTTTTGGTAGAAAAGGTCTAGATGGTCGGCACATCGACTAGGTGCTACCTTCTAACTCTCAAACCTAACTTTTTGATATGTCCATTTATCGTAAAATAAAGCACTTTTCACTTTATCAATTTTTATCATAGGTTCAGCGTACGTAGCGTTGTTATGCTTGTTGTGTTATTCTATTGTTCCTTAAAAATTATATTGAACGAACTAGACTCCTACTGAGAGACTAGTTTGCCTCTGGCGGCAGACGTGTAAGGTCTAGTTAAGTTGATGGTTTTTGTAGATGACGCTGCTGTCGCTGCTTGACGCATCCCGACTAAGCAATAAGGCTGTCTCCCCCTCCCCCTTTTACCTATTCCGTATTCAGCTTTTCTGCCTTACCTACCAAGTGCCTACCTACTTTCAATAGGTCAGCGCCGCCCCTGCGGTGAGTGGCCGCGACGCGCGGCGACGGTCATGTGCTGAGCCTCACGACCGTCTTGTATTGCGTGCCACCGTGGGTACCGCCCTGTGTACCGCTCTGAGAAGTGTAGTGTATCTGGTACCGCCCTGTGTACTGCTGTGAGAAGTGTAGGGTATACATGACTATGTCCCCGTGTATGTACTACAGTGTGTACCGCTGTCAATTGGCATATTTAGAAGCGTCGTCTTGTCTGTGAGCACCGGAAACTGTCCGAGTACCGGTGTGTGTTTGACGCTGGCTTACAGACGCGGGACGGCAGCTGTCTGTTCTGTCTGGGGAATCTGCTGTCTGGGTACCGTTGTCTGTTTCTCCTATAGACGCGGGTCGGCTGTCTGGTTTGTCTGGGAAAGCTGCTGTCTGAAAGCCGGTGTGTGTCCGTGTGTCTGTCTTTAGGCACACGGCTTTCTGTCTGTCTGAGTGTGTCTGTCTGTGTGTCTTTCAGACGCGGGTCGTCTGTCTGGTGTGCCTGGGGAAGCTGCTGTCTGAGTACCGTTGTGTCCGTTTCTCCTACAGACGCGGGTGGGCTGTCTGGTCTGTCTGGGGAAGCTGCTGCCCCACCTGGACCGGTGGCTGGTGCTGGATGAGGTGCTGCCGCTGCTGCCGCAGGTCCCCACCCGAGAGCCGGCAGTCATCATGGCCGTCATCGGTGAGTAACGACGAACCGGCGGCACCAGTGCTCTGTGCGGGACACTTACCTAGCACACTGACAGTACCTGGAGACTGAACTGAAACACGGGCCATCAAGTCTGATAAACGTCCGTTCTCAGTTGTGTATAAGGCGCCGCCGCCGACTCCCTGGTCAGAACTCAGATTTGTGATGTTTTCCCATTAATCTAATAATTTAGCTATACCATGAAGTCGAGGTTCAACTATTTTGAAGTCTAAGTCACTGAATGCATTGTGTGTCGACTGCGACTCTCGGTGATGCGTTACAGACATTGATGAAGCTGACTGATAATATGGCGTTCTCTGACGCTCTCGGACCCTCCCTCGACACCGCCAGGCATCTACAAGGTGACACTGAGCAGCGACAAGCTCGGCATGACCAAGGAGGTGATGGCGACCAAGGTGCTGCCGTTCCTGCTGCCGCTGGCCATCGAGAACGGGCTGGCCGTGGCGCAGTTTGACGCCGTTATGACGCTCGTCAAGGACCTGCTGGCCAGGGTGGAGACCGAGCACCGCGACAAGCTCACGCAGCTCAACGCCATGAAGGACGAACAACAGTGAGTCGGACCGCGCCGCGTGGATGGTAGCCGGCAACGACGAGCGCAGATTGTAGGGCCACCCGTTCTCGTAACCAATGCAATTTTTATATGCTTTGCTTGATTTAAGACTGGGCAAGATAATTGTATTCTAGATACGGTGTAAAATCGTTTATTTACAGACTTTATGTTAAATTTTAGGTGGAAACTGATGCACGAATGTTTTTGCCAACTTAAATAGACTACCGATTTCCCGAAGTTTCCCCGCCTTGTTAGCAATAGTCTCCCAGTCTGCGTAGGCTGTCCGGCCGCCGCTGATGCCTCTGTCCGACTTGTTCCCATCGCTGACGTCCCGTTCCGTGTGTTCGTGTTACAGGAAAGCGCTGAACGCCTCGCTGGCTCAGCCGCCGCCTGGACAGCTGGTGGGCGCTCCCGGACCCACCTCCGATATCGACAAGGTCAGAGCTCAGGGCAGACACGCCAACGGAATTGCCGGGCGTCAGATCTCAGAGCAGACACGTTACCGGACTGGGCAGTCGTCCCATCTTACAACAGACACGCTACCGGAATTACCGGGCGCCGCGGATACCGTGTTCGGACAATAGCTGGATAGTGTTAAAAGGCCTGGCGTTCGTTCGTGCACATTGTCGGCTTCAATCGGCGCTGATTTTTGCTTTTTTGAATTATTGTGTATCGCCATGGTATCGTTTATGGGCTATGGCAGTCTCACGTTTCCATTAAAAAGGGGGTACTTTCATCTTTCTTTCCCGCTTTTGGTTTTCAAGTGACTGCCACTGGTTTGCCGACTGATGTGTTTCTTACCGACCGCTCTGACCCGGTGTGTCACTAACTGAACCCTCTCCCCCGCCCCCAGATGTTCGGCGAGCTCGGTATCGGAGGAGACCCGTCCCCGGCGCCGGCCCCGATCCCAGCCCGCTCGCCCTCCGGCCCGCTGGCCAACGGCTCGAGCCCGGCCGGCGGCGGCGCGTCCCTCTCCCTGGAGGAGAAGCAGCGGCGCGCGCGGCAGCAGGAGGCGGCTGCGCGGCTCAGCAGCCAGCCGGCGCTCACCAGTCCCACCACCACCAGCAGCGCCAACAGCAGCAGCGGCAGCGCCGGCCGGCGGCCGCCGCGTGACCTCACCGACTCCCTCATCAGCAGCAACCTCAACATGATGGCGCGGCCGGCGGCGCCTCCCGCCGCCTTCCCGTCGGCCGCTCCCAACTACCGGCCCGGCGGCGGAGCCTTCCAGTCTCAGCAGCCGCAGCAGCAGCCCATGTTCCAGCAGCAGGGCTTCCAGCAGCAGTCCGGCTTCCAGTCGGCAGGTTTCCAGCAGCAGCAGCAGTTCGGTATGGGCGGGCCGATGATCGGCGCTCCCGGGTTCGGCCGCCCGGCACTGATGCCGGCACCGAGCGCCACCGGCTGGTCGCAGCCGGTACCGTCGGCCGGCCTGACGCCCCAGTATAACAGTCAACAGATGGGACTGGGTCCTCAGTTCGGTCAGCAGGCGGGACTGAGGCCGCAATATGGTCAGCAGTCGGGACTGACGCCGCAGTATGGTCAGCAGCCCGCCTCCAAACAGCTGTCATCCAGCGAAATCAGCGATTTACTCAGCTGAGGTAGTCGGCGATAGAGATCTTCTCAGCTAGGATAACCCGTGATACCAACTTTAGCTAAAAGGACAGCCCGTGATGCCTACGTCGTTCCCAGCTGGAGTGGCCCTGTGGTCCGTCACCACACTGGCCGAGACAGGACGAGACCTGTGCCGTGGCCGGGTCCCTGGTGTGCGCGTGGGCTACGCCGAGTCAGGGCGGTAGCGTCAGCCGCTTGCGACCTGCCGGCAACGAGAGTCAGTGCGTGGGGTTTGCCGAGTCAGGGTGGTACAGTGAACCAGTGGGGTCTTGTCAGCGTCTGGTTCAGCCGCCGGCGACACCGGCCACCGTGACCCAGGTTAGTCAGCGCACAACGGCGTCAGGGTTTACCACGGCAACAGCCAGCCGTGCGACAGAGCTACGGAGGGAATCATAGTCTACTCGGACGGTTGTTTTACATGTGCCTGTAATATCAGATCGGTGTGCGTTTATCTATACTATGACCGTGGACGGGTGTGCCGTGTTATTTATTGTGGCGCGCGCCGCCGGGGCTTTCGTTGCGTTGTTGTGGAGCCGCGTTGTGATGTTTATTCCCTATCACCGTGGTGGCGTGCTCTTTGGGAGGCTGGGCAGCGGAGAGGCGCGGCCGCTGGTCTCTCGGACCGGATGAACCAAACATTCCGTGTGTGTGCTGTGCTAGTTGTCTCGCTGCTGTTTATCAAAATCGAACGGTGGGGGCATTGTCGCATTGTTTTAATGTTGTGTACTTATAACGTTTATTGTGTTTATTGATATTTGATAAAGACGAGATCAATTTATGAATATGCTGACTTATCTACGCGTTTCGGTCCCACCAAGTCCCAGTAACATCTAGATTAACGGATATAACGAATATCTATAGCGTTCGCTGTGCAATCTAGTTAATTGACATGTTTTAAACCGTCCATCGGTTTTCTTGTTTCTTTGACACAGTATTCCATGTATCCGGAGCATACAAGAAAACTGTTAAACCGCGAAAGCATTTATACGTGTACTGCTTTCGCAGCGAAATGTTCCGATGTTCTATTTCATTTGTGAATTTTAATGAGTTAATAACGTATCAAATACATACATCAACGTGTCGCTACGCATGTAAGAGCGAGGTATGTACGACTGCTAACTAAGATTCATTGCCGTCTATATTGAACTGGCTTGTCTTCAGTTGATTGTGACGCCGGCGGAGGTTTGTGTACAGTCCACCACAATCTGTACCCGGTCTGTATTTGCATAGTTCATCACTGATGAATTACGTAGAGACGCTGCCTCACGGAAGCGGCCCTTCCTTCATCCACAAGACTCCACAGTGATACCATGGGAGGGCGAAACGCAGGCACACAATGCGTGCTCTATAAAGCCTACATAATGCCGGCAACTCTTCTCTGTCGATACGTTCTGGCCATAAACCAATCACACATTGGCACGCTGAGAAATGCGACGCCGCAGGAATGTGTGGAGATCAGTTCCAACTCCCGAGAGCTGGTGGTCTCAAACGGTTTTCGCCCTTTCTGCCCTGGCGGCATAAACAAAGCTTCCCTGGATTGCGGCGGACCTGTTGAGCATTGCAGGTTAGGCAGAATATACCGTGCCGCCCGGGCCGGGGAGTCACCAAGGCGGGTCCGTGTCACCGAGTGATCCTGACCATCTGCAGGGGCCGCGGCGCGGGCCGGCAGCGGCCCCGGCTCCGGTCGGCCACTGTGCCCGGCGGACAGCGGCACTCCCGGCCTCCGTCGGCCGTCGCCGCCGGCTCCCGGCCGCCGGGACAGGGTCGCTCGGTCGGCGGCGGCGCGGCCGTGTCCTGCAGGGCCGGCGGCGCGCCGCACACCCCCGCCCCCACGGCACGCCCTCGGCGCCGTTCACACCGACACTCGGTCCGTCCGCTGGCGGCGTTGAAGACGAAGGCGTGCTGCGGCGGGCAGGGGCCGCGCGTCAGCTGCTGGTAGCACCGGCCGTCCTCGGGCCAATAGTTGAGCCGCAGCCGCGCCGAGCAGCCGCAGGCGCCGCGGTGGCTGACGCCCCGGTACGGCTCGTAGTGGACCAGCTGGCCAACCGGGCACGGGCCGCGCTCGCCCACCCGGTGACACCGGCCATCCGTCGGGAAGAACAGCTCGCCGCGCCGGCACGGGTTGTCGGCGCAGACGCCGTGCCGCGGCTCGTCGGCCGCCGGCACGACAAACTGGCCGCCGGCGCACGCGCCCTGAGTGTAGCCGCGGTAGCAGGCTCCCGTGGCCGGCAGCCGCAGACCGCCCGGCTCGCAGCGGCACTCGGTCCGGCCCGTGGCGTTGTTGAACACGAACAGGTTCCCGTGCGGACACGGGCCGCGCGCCTGCTGCGGGAAGCACTGTCCGGTGTCTGAGTGGTAGTGCTCGCGCATCTGCGGCCGGCAGCTGCACTCGACCGCCTGCCGGCTGGCGTTGAAGACAAACAGCAGGCCGTGCGGACAGGGGCCGCGGGTGTACTCCTGGTAGCACGAGTCCGTGTGCGGCCAGTAGCTGCGCGCCATCTGCCCGCTCCGGCTGCAGCCGCACTCTGGCTCCAGCGTCAGCGGATTGAGCGCCAGCAGCTCGCCGCGCGCGCAAGGGCCGCGTGTCAGCCGCTCGTGACACTGCCCGTCCGCCGGCCAGAAGATGTGGCCGGGCGCGCACTCGCCGAACGGCCGGCACGTGGCGCGGCCGGCGCCGTCCGTGAAGAAGTGCCGCCGCGGACAGGGGCCGCGCGAGTGGCGCCGGTAGCAGCGCGCCGTGGCCGCGTGCTCCAGGTGTCCAGTGGGGCAGGCACAGACGGCCCGGCGGCCGGCCGAGTCCCAGATCAGCTCCTGGCTGGGCGGACACGGCCCCCGCTGGAAGATGGGGTAGCAGCGGCCGTCGGCCGGCCACTGGACCAGCTGCCAGCTCTCTGAGGAGCAGGGGTTCAGGGCGGCGTCCACCCAGGGAGGAGCGATCACCGAGCCGGCTCGGACGGAGACGGAGAGTGACAGCAGCAGCGGCAGGAGCAGCGGCGACAGCGTCCGCCACCCGGTCATAGCGGCAGCTCCGTCTGAAACACGGCACACGACGGCGTCACCGAAAGGCATTGCTGTCGGCTGTTTGTGCGCCATTACCTTCCCTCGTTATCCTCCCCCCCCCCACACACACACACTAGACACACAGACAGCGGTATCACCTTTTAACATGGTCGGCTGCCTGTGCGTCTCTGGGAGCACTCAAAACCGCCTGTTGTCAGCTCTCCCTCCTCCCACACACCACAAACACGCACCATACATCTCACTCTCATGCAACTGTGTGACATTGAAAGTCATTAGGTAACGCCCGAACGGATCAGTCCCACGATTTCGCCGGTTGGCTGGAGACAGCTGGGCGGGCGGCGCTTTTGACGGCCACCCCGAGCCGTTAGCGTCGTGACCGGTGGCCGGTCTCGAGGACATCTCCCTCTCTCCCTGAGCTCAGAGCAGACTGTGTCCGTTAGATCAGTCGCAAGGGCTGAACGGCGTTGGCGTCTTTCAGTCAAGGAAAACAAACCTGAAACCGGACAAGCGAGGGGAGAGCATTGGAGTCGAGAACGCTAATGGCTGGACATCGGTCCTCAGCCGGCTATCCAGGGAAGCCCTTCCTAACCGGCTGTGCCGATCGGACTGTGGACCGGATAGGACCGCAGCCGACCGGGACGGTCCTCAGCCGGCTATCCCACGATAGATAGGCTGGCCTCCTCGGCCGGACTACCCTCACGCGACTGTACCCGACCGAGCTGTCCTCCTCCGGTGACTGTCTCTACTGGACTGCGGACATCAGTCACCTGTGACGGACCGAGCGCCGACCGGCCAGTCACCAGCTGGATGACGAACCCTGACCCTGGGCCACATCTCACCCGGTCAGTTATCATCCAGTCACGACTCACGATCTTCCCGCTCTGTCCCATAGATAAGTGCGGAACAGCACATCTGATAAATCTCAGGGGATCACGACTCGAGTAACCATGATCCATGGTCATCGAGCTAAACTAGCACCGTCTATTTATTCGTCCAGCTGAGACTGACACCGCCTGTCTGTTCAACCGATCCACTGTACCGTCAATGCGACCAACGGGTATCATCTGCCGTTGGTCCATTCGCGCCGGGAGGACCACCGCCCTCTAGGGGTCGCGACCCGATGAAACGTTGAGAATTCAGATTCGTTTTCCGAGAAGAGTAGTCTTTCGCTCGGAAAGTGAAACCGTTCGGTGAAGCGCAATGCTACATTTGAGACGTGTCATTGCCTATCCGTCTGAAGGTGTAATGGTCCGACATTTGAGACACGTCCGACCGAAAACAGGTCGGGCGAAACGGGCTTTCCTTCTCGCTCTAATCATCTGTTGAAGCGAAATCGACGACCTCAATGTCACCGTTTACGCAAAATTTCACGGTAACGGTTGGGGTCTGTTCACCGGCATATGGTTGCTGCCGGTTCGACACGCCGTAATAAACCGTAAACGTTCGTGTATGTTGTGAATTGATGCAGGAATTGATGCATAAGTAAGTCTGAATTCTGTGAAGAGAGCCCGATCTCTAATCTGTATCTGTCTGTAGGTATTATGACGGCCGTCCCTAGCTCAGTCCTATGACACAGACCTGTCAGGCAGCCCGGTTCGGTCGGATGCTCGGAGGTCGGACGGTCGTCCGTTTATCCACGGTAATTGCTCCCGGCCGGCAGTGGACGGGCCGACCTTGCCGGCGGGCCCGCTCGGAGGATACCGCGGCTCAGCCGGGCCTTCCGTCCCTGGCCGGACAGCGTGGGAGTCCCGGCCGGCTAACATTCACCGGTCTGGCGGCGGGCAGAGGGGGGCAGACCGACTGGCCACCACATACCTACCGCCGGACAAAGGCGGCTACTTTATGTGGTGCGGTCAGTGGTAGACCGCCGCCAGCCGCCCGGGCTATTACAATAACGCCGGTCGCCGGCGACTGTGGTGGCGAGAGAGGCACACCGTCGACACCACGACACACAGGTCGGACGGTCGGACATGCGAGGTCCGTGAATACTCACAGATCGCGGCCGGCATCAGTGCAGAATGAGCGTATTACAGAAAATTGCGAGCCGAATTAATCGCAAATCTCCTTCCCAATATCAATACAACGGAGGCAGAATGCAGCTGAACTTGGTACTGTCTCGACGCTAAAGAACCATCCATGCCTGGCTTATCTGATGGATACGGGACGACACTGGCTTCCGACTTACCTACACCGATGGTATTCAGCGGCGTGCGGCGACGATCGGCGGTGCTGCCCGTAATTCTGGTGCAGATGGCCGTTCTGCTGGTGCCGGTAACTGCCCTGCTGGTGACAGGCTCAGTTATCGCAGTCACCAGCCGCTGCCCCGCTCCTCCGGCCGCCGTCACCACCGCCGACTGGACTGGAACATGGCCCGTCTGCCGGCCGACTGGCCGCGGTGACCCTGAGGGCCGCCGTCCGCCCCGCCTCGCCCCGGCCGAGAGTTCCTGTAACAGGGCACCGGCGGACCGGTGAGGGCGAACCTCCGGGTCGGACGGACGGTACCGGCGGAATCCCAGTCCCAGTCCCAGTGGACTGCGACGCCGGCCTCACACCCCCGGCGACTTCTCTGGCCTGAACCCCAGTCACCGCGGCCCCTGCAGTGCCCCCTGGCTTCTGCACTGGCCCGAGCCTGCTCCGAGGCTGACACGGCAGATCAGCTCACGGGAGTTTCTCTACCTCCGGAGCCGGGTGACCCAGAGTGCACCGGTCATGGTTAATAGGGCACGGCCAGCCGGCTGCAGGAGCGTGCCGCCGGGCTAGTCTCGTATCCGGTTAGAGGCGGCGGCGCCAGTGCGTTTCAAATTAGCTCCCCATTGAACGAATTCCTCCGGAATTCGTTTGGGATTTGGGATTTGGAACTTTTTTTTTTGGAACTTGGAACAGGGATTTGGAACGAATTCCAAATCCCTGAAACTGGGGCTAGACTCGGTTCTAAACCACGCAGGAAAGCAAATTACATTGACAGGAATACGGTCATTTTTTCAGACCTAGCCTAATCTGAATAAGCAGATGCTTGACTTACCTACCTCTCCGTTTGCTGGGTGGTCCGAAGCCGGGAGGTTGTCAGGAAGGCGCTGTGGTGTCTTCTCCCATGGAGCCGCCACCCAGCCGCGTCTTCTGCCCGGCAGTCCTGAGAGAGCAGGCCGTCCTCAGAGAGCACTCCGTATCCGGTCCAGTCCAGACAAGAGTGCAGTCCGCCGGCCCGGCAGTCCTCGGACTGCACTCTGTCCCCGGAGTCCTGCCACTGCTGTCCGTCCCAGTCCGTCCTGCCACCGCACACTCTGCGCCCGTCAGTCCTGCCACTGCTGTCCGTCGTCGTCAGTCCTGCCACTGCACACTCCGCCCCGTCCCGCCGCAGAGAGCCGCTGACCGACTGACCGCCGCCGGAGCAGAGCACAGCTGACGGCCGGCCCGATCCCAGCTGCCGGCGCGCCTATAGAAAGTCGCTCTCCACGGCCAGTACTGCCCGGCGACGGCGGCCGTCCAGAGCGGGGACCGTCCTATAACCCGGCGACGGCGCAGGTTCAGAGCGGGGACCGTCCTGTAACCCGGCGACTGCGGCCGTTCAGAGCGGGGACCGTGGTGTAACCCGGCGACGGCAGAGGCCCAGGGCGGGGACCGTCCGGTGGTCTAGAACGGGGACCGTCATGATGAACGGTCCCGGCCTGTTGGTGACAGGTCAAGGTCAAAACGCCGTCCAAACAGGTCGAACCATTGCCTATACCCGATGACAGTTCAGGTCACCTTTCTTACCGGTGACAGGTCACTTCACTGTTTAGCCCTGCAAAAGGTCAGTCAGGCCAGTCTGAGTCAGATTAGTTTACTGCCATATCCCGTGAAAGGTCAGGTCACCGTTCGAACTGGTGACAGATCACATCAGTAATGTGACAGTTTACATGTCAGGTCACTACCCTATCCGAGGACAGGCCAGCTCACCGCACTACCCGGTGATAGCAGGTCAGGTTACTGCCCCACCAGCCGGCGATGGTCCGTGCATGGAACATCAGTCTCAAATGATCAACATTCTGCTCAATGAACCATGAAAAGCCGACCGTGACGCGGCCTAAGGTCGGTGTGGACGTGGAGTGACGTCAGAGACAGCTACTTTCCTCGAACCCGTTTCCGCAGCGGTAAATAAATAGGGTATCTGGACGGTGCTTGGGAATTTCATAGGTATACTGATACATAACCCGGCAGGCGGTGGGCCTACCAGCCACCTTCCGCGCGGTGGGGGGGGGGGCATTTCCCCCCCCCCCCGTATCTCCGAAACTACTGGACGGATCCGGAAAATTCAAACGGCGTTCGATAGCCCTGTCAAATTTGTCGAAGGAAACCAAATTTCATTGACCTCGGGGTCACCGATGACGTCACAGGTCAGGTCAAAGATAAAATGTTTCACGGTTCACGGGGCTTCTAGGGAAAGCGCTATAACACCGAGTAAAACGCATTTTGTCGAAAATCAGCGATAAGGCGTCAGTTGTCTAGTACACATGTTGCTATTAGAGGTCACTGTTCATACCAGGTCAGGTCACAGGTCAGGTCACCAAAGGTCACCATGGGTCACCACATGAGCCCAACTTTACTAAGGTTACGCGATGCATGTTTTATGGCCAGTTTTTCATTTCCAACACAATGGTGCTAGTTATAAGACCATCAGGTACGGTTTAGGTCACTTTCTGGTGGAGGTCAGGTCAAGGTCAGGTCAAAAAAGATCAAATTTCAAAATGGATATTTTTGCATAAAATGGGTATCGATTCGATGCAGCTCGTCACGGGGAGTCTCATGGTGGTCTTTGTTTTGCTCTACGAGGTCTAGAATTGCTAAAAATTGAGCTTGAAAATTTGACGTCATCAATTTTGAACAGTTTTTTCGCTATAACTTGGCCAAAAAAGAGGTATCGATCTCAAATTTGGTATGTAGATAGAAGGCGGTAGGGACTATCACATATATTCCGGTTTTCTCGAAATTCAAAAAACTTTTTGGATTTTTTGGTTATTATATTCATAAAATCTATTTTTTGATTTTTGGGGGTCAAAATCCAAAAAATTCGAAAAACCGAAATAGCAGTTTTGTAGCCCTTTTGATTTCACACCTTTTATGTCTGAAACATTTTTCTGTATCTCTAAAGCTGTAGGCCTGACAGCTCTTCCCGCGAAACCTTTTTTTTTTGGGTCGAAAATGGCAAAAATGACGTCACTCTGACGTCATTAGCGGCCAACCTATCATAGCCTTTGGAAAAAATTTTGGTCATCATGTGCGCTAGCTGCTCCCGGGAGGGTACTGAAAGTTTGGTGACGATCGGCGCAGCGGTTCTCGAGATATATTGAAAAAACTAAAGGGGGGGCAAAAAAATGCCCCCCCCCACCACCTGGAAGGATAACGTCAAGATCTGAGTTATAGCGATTGATTTTTAAGTTACCTTTGAAGCATTTTGGTGTGACTTACCAAATTATCTTCCTCTTTATATATCTACATGGGCATTGGTATCGGAGGGCGTGCCTTTGTTTCACGCCGTTCGATTGTTGTTGCCAACTACTGAGCGACGGGGATACACTTCCCGCAGCAAATCGGTCCGATCCCGTGCGGCACGTGCTGTCCTTCAGGCTTCATAGCTCGACAAGGGAAGGGAACTCGTCCCTACGGAGCATGGGCCTATCAGGTCAGTTGTGAGTTACGATTTACGATTCACAGTTTAGATAACTTCGGGCTATCCAGAAAAGAACGTTGCTGTAACAGCAGAGTGCAGCCCAATTTTAACACGAATGTGTTTGTCAACTCTAGCTCTCCCGATGTGCTTTCTTGTTACAGTCACTGCCCTCTGGCGGGCTCCTCAGGGCCACCAGGGAGCGGTGACTGTCAGGGCTCACGACAGCCACCAGAGGGCGGTGCTCGGAGCTCACCATGAAGCCACCAGAGGGCTGTGATCGGAGCTCACCATGGAGCCACCAGAGGGCGGTGACTATCGGAGAGCGGAACTTCTCGCCAGCCAGCCCGGCTCGGTATACGATTGGTCCGGACGGAGTGCCGACGTATAGGTGACGCTGCATGTCATCCTCCAGATCAACCCTCGATCAGCGTCCGACTGCCCGCACCCTGGACAGGGCATGAGCCATTAAAGTAGCATCAACCAGAGCTGAAACAATAGGTACTGGCTCTCTCGCCAAGCACGGCAAATACTATAATACAATCAAATAGTCCCACGACTCACAACTCACGTGAAGGGTCAGACGGAAGTCGCAATGGCGTCAGTCAGAGAATGATCAGGTCGGATCAGGTCGTCAGGTCAGATCATCCTGGCAGGTAACGTCAGTCGCCAAAGGTTATATAAAATCGATAGGGGCCACATCAGTCAGGTTGGATCAGGACAGTTCAGACCACTGTCCATTAGGTCAGTTGGAGGTCGGCTAGGTTGGACCGCCGTCAAAAGGTTTGTAGGAGCAGTCGGAGGTCGGCCAGGTCAAGTCGATAAGGCGAGGCCTCTGTAAAACAGCCTGTTAGGTCAGTCGGAGGTCGGTTGAGTCAGGTCAGATCAGGTCAGGTGAGATCAGGTCGGGTCAGATCGGGTCAGGTTGAATAAAGTCTGAGCAGGTCAGATCAGGTCGGTCAGGAGTCAGGACCCTGTCAGTCAGTCTATCAGGTCAGTCAAACCTCAGTCAGTAGTGTCAGCCAGCGGTCGGCTGGGTCGGGTCGGGCCGCTCGCTCGGCGCTGCGCTGCGCTGCGCTGTGCCGTGACCGCCGGAGAAACTGGGCGTCGTGACTGGTCGGGGGCAGCGGCGCCATTGGCTGCGCCGAGCGCCGCGCGCCGCGCGCCGCCGCGGGAAGTGGGTCTCACGCTGTTGTGGCGCTGCTGATGCGGCACAAAAAGTGACGCTGCAGCGGCGCGGTTTCACCGTCACCTCCGTGCCAGCGGCTCTCCTCTCCTCTCTTCTTCTCTCTTGTCTTCTCCTCTCCTCTCTTCCAGCCGCCCCACCCGGCGGCGGCGTCAGAACGGGTTCAACACTCGCGCCACAATGCATTGGCACCGCCACAATGCATTTTCAAATTTCAATGAGACTAAAACACGCACTGGGGGTGCAGGAAGAATCTTGTCCGTTCACTTCCGTGTTCCGGCACATGTCACATATCAAACTGACAACTAGTGGCGAGACCGTTCCCATCTCAGAGCAGGGTGGCTGAAAAATGGCCCATCACAGCCACCTGGGCCGTCCCACCGGAGCCAGGTGGGCCATCCCAACACAGACCGCTGGGTCATCCCGCCGGATTGATGGTAGCCTGCCGTCCCACTGAAGCGGAAGCAGCCTGCCATCCCACTGGAGCGGGAGTATGCTACCTGCATCCCACCGGAGAAACGGTAGCCCGCCGTCCCACCGGGATGATGGTAGTCTGCCGTCCCACCGGCACAGTAGCAGCTTCCCGTCCCAATCATCTCCACCGTGCCATG